CCGCCAAGACCCCAGCACACTCGGCTGTGTCCTGCTCCCAGTCCTGTGTCCACACCTGAGGCCACGCAGATCCCCGGGTTTCCCGTTGAGGGCTGGGACAGGTCCGCTCCCTGGGCCTCCTGCCGCCTCCTCGTCCCCTCCCCTGGGCAGTCGAGGCCCCGTCCAGCCATCCAATCGCAGCTGCCCGAGTGGGCGAGGACGTGCCCCGGCGGCTCCCCTCCGAGGGCTCTCGTCCTTAGGGACGCGGCCAGGCTGCCTGGGCGGCTGTACTCCGGCCGGGCTGCAGAGGTGAGTGCTCAGGACTCAGACTCCTCCTTCCGAGTCTCCCACGAGGGGCAGGGGTGGGCCTGGGGCGATGGAATGTGCACGGCTATCCGTCACGTCCTGGTCACCCGACAGCTATGCCCGGCAGTGGCCCGAGTGTCCCTGCTCCCGTCACGGAGGGCCTGAGCATCCGGAGCTATGACAGGGACTTCCTGAGGACTCAGAGGAGGGAGGCACCGGCCCCTACACGTCAGCTGGCTCCACACCCAGGCCGCACACCTGCACCTGGGACACCGCCTCCGCCTCCAAGGTGCCGGCAGAGGGACACGGGGCCTCAGAGGAAGGGCAGCCCGCACAGGGGACAGTGGAGCGGGCCGGCGCGGCTGCGGAGGTGAGCTGGGCAGGGCAGGGGCAGGTGCCCGGAACGGGAGCAGATCCTGAGAGCGCGTCACTGAAGGTTCGGGCGTGCTTGGGCTGCAGGGAGAGCCGGCGACAGGATGGAGGGGACAGGGAGTGGGCCGGTCGTCCTCAGTTCCCAGAGGTCCACCCCGCCTGGATGCTCCTGCCAGGACCGCGGTCACCGCTCGCAGGAAAGGCTGTGTAGCCACAGGGACGAGAGGCAGGGAGTTCCGGGGCCGCTGGAGAGCGGCTCTGGGCTTAGGTTTGCTGCTTCGTTTGCCGCACGCCAGGGGACTTCACGGGAAAACTGTCACAGGAAAACAGAATTCAAGGACGACGCTGCGGCGCTGCCCCAGATTCTGAAACGCACCCACCTTTCTCTTTAGCTTGCTTTCATTTCTGTAGTGTCCCCCCCTGGAGAGCGACAGAGAGAGCGCGCCCCCGCGGGACGGCCACACAGTGCAGGGTTCTCAAGTGCTGCCTCTGGGAAGTGGCAGCTGCTTCCAAAGTGCTTTTCCCAAAGAGCAGCTTTTCCACGGACCGTGCGAGGGCTTCTCCCCTGTGCTGAGCGTGTAGCGGCCTTTTCCACGTCCCGCTGTGGGTTCTTGGGCTACAGCCATGTAACACACCAAGGAAGACGTGTGTGCTCACACGCAGGAAGCACTGCTTACCTCAAGGTGGTTGGAATCTGGGCCTCGCACACCCACGGAGCAGGGACAGGGGCTTGTGGGAAAGCGGGGGCTGGTGTGGAAGACGGCCGTCCCCTGGGGACCGGGAGGGACACGCGGGGGGGACACGGGGGCCACAGCCAGTCTCTGCGTGGGGCTGTCCACATGGGACCGTGGGCTGTGGTCCTGCCACGGCACACAGACAGCCTTCTCCAGCCCTGAGTCGGGGCCAGGACACATGCCCCAGAATGTCGGGGGACCCTGGGCCTCACCTGCTTTAGCTCACGGGTCCGTGTTCTGGGCAGGGCCCCGGGTCCGGTGTGACGGCTGGGAGACCATGGGACATGGGGGTGAGCCGTGCCCCAGGGTTGCTCAGGGGAACAGCTAGGTTCAAACCCAGCTCCTCACCCGTGCCACCACGGCGGGTGCTACCTGCCTGAGCCAGCTCGGGTGGCCCGGCTCAGCCCCCCAGGTCCCCAGTACAGCGCTGGGGTCCGAGCCCCCACTTGGGTCCCCAATACAACGCTGGGGTCCGAGTCCCAACTCGGGTCCCCGATACAGCGCTGGGTCTGGTCCCCCATGCAGCGTTGGGGTCCAAGGCCCCCCAACCCTGAGGTCCCTAATACAGCGTTAGGGCCTGAGTCCTCCTACCCCAAGGTCCCTAATACAGGGTTAGGGTTCGAGCCCCCCCTGGGGTCCGAGACCCCTCCAAGGTTGTTAATACAGTGTCAGGGTCCGAGTTCCCCGTCCCCCGAGGTCCCTGACCCAGCGTTGGGGTCCAAATCCCCTCCCCTGAGGTCCCTAACAGAGCATCGGGGTCTGCGTTCTCCCCTGAGGTCCCTGACCCAGTGTTGGGGTCCAAACCCCCTCCCTTGAGGTCCCTGATAGGGCATCGGGGTCTGAGTTCTCCCCTGAGGTCCCTGACCCAGCGTTGGGGTCCAAACCCCCTCCCTTGAGGTCCCTAACAGAGCATCGGGGTCTGAGTTCTCCCCTGAGGTCCCTGACCCAGCGTTGGGGTCCGAGCCTCCCCCCCCAGTCCCTAACAGAGTGCTGGGTGACCCCATGTGGCCGTCCCTCTGTGCGTGTCTGTGTCCCCCTCTCTCCTCTCATGGACACCAGACCTACTGGGTCAGGGCTGCCCTGGTAACCTCATGTCTCCTTCATCTCCTCCACAAAGACCCTGTCCCCAAACAGCGTCACACCCTGAGGTCCTGGGGGGGGGCTGTCCATGAGGTTGGGGGTCACATCTCAGCGGCGTGTGGTCCGAGGGGGAGGGCGCCCTGGAGGCAGGAGGTGTATGTAGCCACCCCGGGGCCAGGGCTGTGGGGCCTCTGTTGGGGTGCACGGGGCTCTGCCCACCCCTGGTCCATGTGAGAAGGAGAAGACCTCTCTCCTCGTGCTCGGGTTCTGCGCACCGCCCCAAATTACACCCACAACAGCCATGACGGGACTGCAGGGTTATATCACCTGCAGGGGGGCCTCACCGGTGTGACGTGCCACCCGAGGGGCGGTCAGGGGCTTGGAACTGGCTTAGCAAAGGCGTGGGCGTGGGCGGGGAGGTGACATGCAGAGGAAGGTGTGAGCTGTGGAGGGGACCAGGAAGGCAGGCGGGGCGAGGGGTCCTAGGTGAACTCGAGGGTTATCTGGGTCACGGCCTCAGGATGACCCCCGGTGACATGGCTCCCCACTGGGCGGTGTGCACCGGAATGGCCAGCGTGGACCCTCTGTCGGGCTGAACAGAGAGGGGCGCGGAGGGCGGGGAGGGTCTGTGGAGGCTGCACCGGCCTCGGTGGTGTGTGGCAGCTGCGGGGCTGCGTGTTGGTGCCCGGCTGCGGCTGCGTGAAGTGGGTCGGTTCCGGGTAAAGGAAGGCTCCCGTGGCCCCCGACCCTGGGCTGTGACCGTGCCCTAACTCCTGCCTCTCTGGGCCGTGGGAGCAGAAGAGGCTCAGCTCCAGGCTGCTCTCAGCGGCCGCTCCACCGCCAGG